AATCAAAAAGTGAACGAGTGAGACAGGTGATGCTGGGCTGATGTTGTGGCGTTCACTGTGACGTTCGCTGCGCCAACTAGCGGTGGGGTATCTGAAGCTGGCTCGTAACCCGAATTTTAGCTCGCGACTCAAAGCAAAAAATTGGCCAAGAGATGGCTCGTATCTTGAAAAACTCGTTAGTTGGGACACTCGTAAGTTAAGGCCCCACTGTATATTTTAAATTATGACGTTAGACCCATGCTCTGATTTTTTTTTTTTTTAAGTGGCAAAGAATTTGGTTTAGTTTTGTAGTTTTGGTCTTTTTGTTTTTGTTGTTGTTGTTATTAAACACTTTTAGTTTGTCTTTATTTGTCCAACATGGGTACCTTTTGATGACAGATTATTTGGATTTTTTATAGCTTTCTCTGCATATGAGCTTTGAGGCTTATTTTCTTGTTTTAAATGCCATGCTTCCATTTTCTTCTTCAGCTCATACTTCCCCTTTCTTATTGGTTTTAATGAGTTATGAGTTGTGCTTCCCAACCTTGAATATCCATCCTTGGCTTATAAGCCTCCTCTTCTTAAGGGCTCAGCTCATCTATCAACCTTTTTATGTAACTTTCTAAGAATATCTTCCATGACTGTGCAGCAATCATAATATACTACAGTTGTTTACTTGATTATATTCCCATTAGACTGCTTTTTCAGACCAGTGATCCTATCTCATGATTCGGTTTCCTCAGTGCTTAGAGCCATATCGAAAAGTCTAGAGACATGCTGAAATCTTAAAACATGTTCATAGCATTGAATGATTATTACATTTTGCTTTTCAAGAGTTGCGAAAATAATTTCTTCAATTACAATGGCTCCTCCGCATTTCCTTTTGCAGCTGTGATAAATGTAATTTGCTAATGTTTTTAAAAATCCTTTATTGATAAGAATTAATTATATGTCTACTAATTATGTACTAGACAAAAGACTGAGAAAAATGAATATAATAAAAGGCATGGGCCCTGCCATTAAGTAGTTCACAGATTAGTGGGAGAGATAAAACACAAATGAGTAACATAACCAATAAGAACAATGTGAATTATGTGTCCAAAATGAAGGGTAGAGAGAGGCAGTGATGTGAGTTAATAAATAGGAACAGTGGTGTGTTGGCTATTATTTTAATAACCAGCTCTCAGAATAAAAGCCTTGATTTGTAGCATTTGCCAATTTCATTGTATAAATACTCCTACCATAGCTGATTTCAAGCTACAGCTTGAAGTCACTAAAGCAAAGTTGGGAAAAGATGTACATGTTAGATCTTGCTAGCCTGTGTAAGCTGGTTCCAACACACTTTTAATGGGAGATATGGGTATAGACAGACATGATCTGGGTATACTTACTGGAGGAGGTGAAATTAAAACTAGTCTTGAAGCTTGTATAGAAATTAGATAACTCAAAGGAAAATATGTTTCAGGTTTGGAATATAGTATAAGCATTTCATGGAGGCAGGGAGGAATGTAAAATTTTCAGGCAAATACATTTAGCGCATAGTAGGTGCTCAATAAATATATTTGTGACTAATTGAATGGCAGTGAATAGACCTCTGATTGAAGAAATGAGTCTCTGTGAGAAGAGACATGGGAGGGAAGTTCAGATGCCATGGTATTCTGTGGTATCCACAGGTCTTTATCCTTCTTTATAATATTGCTCCTTTTCCCCTCTCCATGCACAGAATCTTCATTAGCTTGGCTATGCGGTCTCAGTGAGGCACTACTTTGCTACAGGCTGATTTTTGAGTTATTTTAATAATCACACAGATATCTAATATTAAGATAGGTTTAACCAAGAATTCTGGGAGGACAGAAATTTTTAATTTTCAAAGGTGGCGGAATAGTATCTAAAAGCCTTATATCTGCTTAATGACTGTATCTCTGTTAAACAAACATGCTTCCAGATATTGAATTCAGTATATAGCAGTTATATATATACAATTGGTGGGCTAGCTAAAGATCAATATTTTTCTCTTCTCCTATACAGTAAAAGGCTAATGTGCAAATTGTTCCTTTGGGAGTTCAACCAACTGGGAGCTCCACCAGTCGCTAGGATGGGCCTGCCCTAACTGCCCATGGTTCCTCCCCCTGGCCAGCTCTGTCCCTTCTAACCCTGATTGGAGGAAGGGCCTGCCAGCCAACCACCCACAGCTCCTCCCCCTGGCCAGCCAACTTCCTGGAGTCCCTCCCACTGGGCTGGCCCCCTGATAGGCTTCGATTGCTAGCCAGGCCAAGGGACCCCACCCGTGCATGAATTCGTGCACTGGGCCTCTGGTATGTAAATAAATGCTGCTGCTATCCTCCAATAAAACTTTATTTACAAAGAAGGTAACACATAGATTTGACCCATAAACCATAGTTTGTGATTCCTTGCTTAGGGCATCAAGATGTCTAGGAAATCTAGAATTCTTTAAAGTTCATGAGATAACACTAAAGATTAAAAAATGCCCAAAACTCTCCAAGACAGTACAATGTAAAAATGACTCAGTAAAAAGAGTTCAAGCTATCATTTCTGGTAAGATGTTTATTCAACCCTCTCCCTCTGTTCTTTATATATGGGTATGGGTGGTTATCCTATCTAATAAAAGAGAAACATGGTAATTAGCGTATGACCGCTACCCTTCCCATTGGCTAATCAGGGCAATATGCAAATTAACTGCCAGCCAAGATGGCGGCCGGCAGCCAGGCAGCTGGAAGCTAACATGAGGCTTGCTTGCTTCAGTGATGGAGGACTCCAATGTTCCCCCGCGTGCCTTGCCGGCCTCTGAGCTTGCAGTTTGAAACATTGTAACAAATATAGAAGCTAAACAAAACCCCAGAAACCTGCTTTCAGCGAGCCGGGATCTCAGAGCTGGAGTTGATACAGTGTCTCGATTATAGAACCCAAACAAACCAGATACCTGCTTTCAGCAGCAGAGGCCTCAGAGCTGGAGCCAGAGCTAAAGCTGGCCCAGAATAAAAAAAGAAAAAAGAAAAAAAGGAGCAGTTGGGAGCTTCAGTCACCCGCCAGCCTGAAAACAGCCCTCAGCCCCTCACCCAGATTGGCCAGGCACCCCAGTGGGGACCCCCACCCTGAAGGGTGTGTGACCAGCTGCAAACAGCCATCATCCCCTCACTCAGGCTGGCCAGGCACCCCAGTGGGGACCCCCCCACCCTGATCCAGGACACCCTTCAGGGCAAACCAGCTGGCCCCCACCCATGCACCAGGCCTCTATCCTATATAGTAAAAGGGTAATATGCCTCCTAGCACCGGGATCAGCAGAGCCGCGAGGCCTCCCGGCACCGGGATCAGCGTGACAGGGGCAGCGCCCAAACCCCCCGATTGCCCTGCGGCTCTGTGTGTGACAGGGGGCAGGGCCACAACCTCCCTATCTGCCCTGCTCTTTTGTGACAGGGGAAGGTACCCCAACCCCTTGATCAGCCCTGCTCTGTGCCTGATAGAGGGGAGCTCCCCAACCCCCTGATCGCCCTGCAGCTGTGTGTGTGACAGGGGGCGGCACCCCAACTCCCCAATCGGCCCTGCTCTGAGCTAGACCAGGGGCTGCACCTAGGGATTGGGCCTGCCCTCTGCCACCTGGGAGCAGGCCTAAGCCAGCAGGTTGTTATCTCCTGAGGGGTCCAAGACTGCGAGAGGGCACAGGCCGGGCTGCGTGACCCCCCCTCCCCCCGAGTGCACAAATTTTTGTGCACTGGGCCTCTAGTAGTATTATATTACTATTATAATTTTGGTGTTTATACACTTTCTTAAAATGTTTTCTGAATAAAACTGGACTTGGGATATTAATGAATTTCTGTAACATTAGAGTGACCATAGAGGCAATAAATATTTTTCTCATAATCTTCCAGGCTAATGGTCACTTTCTTATTTGATATTATATCCACATTCTTAGGAACAAGAGTGAGGTGGAAATGGTGATGAGTAAAATTTTAGTTTTCAGTTTCGGTTTCCTTATTTTTACAACAGGAAAAAATAGAAACTGTTATACTTATGAAGGAAATGGCAGCATTATTTTCATGGTAGGTATAAATCTGTGCCTTTAATTCATTAGCTGTTGGGAGAAAAGTACCTTCGAAGGGACAAAGAAAAGAGCCCTACATTTGTCTGTCAAAATCTGATGCTTTATTATCTTTTCTCTTCTTGAATTCTAGAAAAAGAGAACTGACCATTCTCTACCTACTTTCTTTTCTGCTATCATGGGAGAAGGTTAATAAGGGAGAGGAAAAAAAAAAAACTATGGGAGAATTAAATCACATTAAACAGGATGGTTGGGCCATAGTGCATCCTGTCTGGAGAACTGCTCATATAATGCTCAGGCCAGTGTTTGAGATCAAAGACTGTATCTGCTTATATGTGAAGGTCTGAGGTCGGAAATGTAGAAATAACAATACATTACCAGAAAGAGAGAGAAAAAAAAGCATATGTATATGTGACAAATAGCAGATTAGTGCCCTGTCCAGAAGGTGTCAGATAGGTTTGCACCAGTGCTATGTGCCCACCTTCCTGACTCTACATGCTTTAATCCTAACCACTTCCACCAAAACCTTTAGAAGATGACCATTGGACACTGAAGCCTTTAGACTGCCTGGAATTAGCTAGTACCTGGGAGCTTTACTGCTCCTACCTCATGGCAACCTGTACCAAAGGTTCTTTAATATGGGAATACAAAAGCTCAGTCCCTTTGTCTTAAAGCAAGACAATCTGAGGGGATACTTCATACTCTACCATGATCTGGTTGAGTCTGGGACTTCAACTGAAATTGTACTCTTCCTTCTTCTTACCTGCTTTACTCTTTCCATACTGGTTGGTCTGTCATAAGACATTTTCATAAAACATTCAAATCCTTAGTTTAAGTTCTGTTTCTGGAAGAACCTGATCTGAGAAAAGAGACCACCATAGCCCCTTAGCTTTTAAGTAACGGCTAACGTCACACTACATTTCACACTAATATGCACATAACTTATAAAGAAGTGTCCACCAACCTGTCAACAAATGAATGGTGAAGAAGGAAAATGGGATCGTTGGCAGATGACGGGACCAGAGACATCGTTCCATTCATATAGATGTGCAAGGCATTGTGCATAGTGCTTTGAGAGGTATTTGATATCCCAGTAACTGGACTAGCAAATCCTGTTGGTAAAAAGAAAATTGGGGGGGGGAAGTTAGTTTGCCTTAATGATTGAAAAGTGATTATTTCATTTGTTTTATGATTAGAAGTGAAAGCTTAATTCAAAGTCATAAAATAATAATAAAATTCATGCTGTATTGGGATTCTTTGCATTCTGAATACCCAGTGAGTATTTATTTAATAAATCTTCCTGGAATTGACTGGTATTAATCTGGGTACAAAGAACTGTTAATCAGATGAAATAGGTAGAGCCAAATTGTGGTCCTTCCGCTTATTATTCCTCCTTTAGATACTGAAAAGTAGCAAGACCTTATTAATAATAATCAGCATAGTGATTTTCACTTCAGTCTGTAACAATACTTAGAGCACATCATTTTAGCCTGTTATTTGTCCTTTTGCATACCAGTTCTGGCTACTTTAAATTTTGTTTTCTGGTTTCAGAGAAAATATAACATTTGTGACCTCCCACATCACTATGCATTGTCAACAGTCAGGGGGCATCAGGTCAGAATGTCTTTGCTTTGAAAAATACTCATTTCAAAGTTCATCAGAATGCGATTAAATTGTTCCATTCATTGCATCAGGAATACTAATAGTGGGAATAATCATATTAATAAGAGCTATTATTTTCTGAATGTTAATTGGGCTAAATGCATTTTTGTGATATATGTCCTCCAATCTACAGCAACCCTATCAATTATAAATTATTATCCCCACTGTAAATAAGAGAAAACTGAAGCTCAGAGAAGAGCTGAGTTTCCCAAGGCTACAGATGTAGTGGTAGAGTTGGGATTTTAACTTATTTCAGTTAAGCTTCAACATTAGAGGTCTTGGTATTTTATATCCTTTCTCACCCACTCACTGGGAAAAGGTCGAGTAAGATATTTTTTGAGTCCATTCAGACAAAACATAAAACATAAAACATAAGCAGAACTCAAGTCAGAAGGAAGTTAAATTCTACACTGGAACCCAGTTGAGGGAATATGGCCAAGGGCGTATTATTGAATTTCAGAATTTAGAAAAATCAAGCAAGCAGAAGCAATATGATGATGATGGAGGATAGACACAGTAAAGGCACCACAATTTGGACAGGGGAGTTCTAACTACATTTCATGCAATTAGAATTATTTTGTAACCTACCTCTTCATTTTTAAAGGTATAGCTCTTGACTTTTGCATTTAATGCTTTGTGGCCCACAGTATTTCTGCCCTTCAGCTGGTGACTTATTATCCCCTCCTTTTGAGCTTTTTGAATTCATTCTTAGAGATCATACTAAGCCCTGGCCCCTCAGGAAACTTACTAGTAGCCTAAGGATAATTACTTCCATCTGAATTTGCTTGTCTATGACAATTTTTATGATTGACACTCACTATGTTCAGAAATTTTTCTAAGAGTTTGACATGATTGATTTATATAACCTTCAGAATGATCCTTCATTATCTCCATTATATAGACTTTAAAAAGGGGTTTAGAGAGGTCAAGTAACTTGTCTAAGATTACAAAACAAATAAAAAGCGTGAACAAATAAAAAGCGTGAAGGTTGGAACACAAGCCTGTTTTATTCTAGAGCAGCGATTCTCAACCTGTGGGTCGCGACCCCTTTGGCGGTCAAACGACTCTTTCAAAGGGGTCGCCAAAGACCATCCTGCATATCAGATATTTACATTATGATTCATAACAGTAGCAATGAAAATAATTTTATGGTTGGGTCACAACATGAGGAACTGTATTTAAAGGGACAGAAGGTTGAGAACCACTGTTCTAGAGCTTAAGCTCTTAAGTGCATGGTTACTGCGTTTACTATGTAGCAATAAATCACATATCATGGAGGGCAAAGTTCCATAGAACAATGGTCTTCAAGCTTTTATTCTTGGGTAGCACCAAATGAAAATTTAAAACTACATTTTATATATGCTCTCATGTAATTTTAAGTGGATTCCAAATTGTTTTAATCATAATTATAAATAGTTTTGGAGGCCAAAATTTCAAGGATATTACAAAAAGTGTAAATTTAAAACTAAGAACTTAATAATCACTTTTAGAAAATGTATCTTATTATCCATTGTTCATATTAAAATAACTTTATTATACTCTGAAATTTTGGAGAGGGGGTCCTTTTTTCATGTAATTTCATGTTTTACTTTATTTTCCCACAGAATTATGCATAAATGTTATGTTACTCTTGAAATATTTTTTTAAAAAAACTATTACATCATGCCTGCTGGAGTGACTCAGTATTTGAGCATTGAGCTATGAACCAGGAAGTTACAGTTTGATTCCTGGTCAGAGCACATATCTGGGTTGTGGGCTTGATCCCCAGTGTGAGGCATTCAGGAGGCAGCTAATCAATGGTTCTCTCTCATCATTGATATTTCTCTCTCTGCCTCTCCCTTCCTCTCTGAAATCAATATATATATACTAGAGGCCCGGTGCACAAAAATGTGTGCACTGGCGGGGGGGGGGGGGGTGGTGTCCCTCAGCCCCACTTGTGCCCTCTCACAGTCTGGGACCCCTTGGGAGATAATGACCTGCTGGCTTAGGCCTGCTCCTGGGTGGCAGAGGGCAGGCCTAATCTCTAGGTGCAGCCCCTGGTCGGGCTCAGAGCAGAGCCGATCAGGGGGTTGGGGCGCTGCCCACTGTCACGCACAGAGCAGGGCCCATCAGGGGGGTTGGGGCTCCGTACCCTGTCACACACAGAGTAGAGCCGATCAGGGGCTTGGGGCGCTTCCCCCTGTCACCCACAGAGCAGGACCAATCAGGAGGTTGGGGCACTCCCCCTGTCACACTCAGGGCAGGGCCAATGGGGAGGTTGTGGCTCCACCCCGTCACACACAGAGCAGGGTCGATCAGGGGGTTGGGGAGCTCCCCCCTATCAGGCACAGAGCAGGGCTGATCAGGTGGTTGGGCACCTTCCCCTGTCACGAACAGAGCAGGGCAGATAGGGAGGTTGTGGCCCCGTCCTCTGTCCCACACAGAGCCGCAGGGCGATCAGGGGGTTTGGGCGCTGCCCCCTGTCACACTGCTCCAAGGGCCAGGAGACCTCGCTGCTCCACTGCTCCTGGTGCTGGGAGGCCTCGCGGCTCCGTTTGACACAGGGGCAGTGAGGACTTGCTGCTCTGCTGATCCCGGTGCTGGGAGGCCTTGCTGCTCTGCTGATCCTGGTGCCAGGAGGCCTCATGGCTCCGCTGATCCCAGTGCCGGGAGGCCTCACGGCTCCGCTGATCCCGGTGCTGGGAGGCCTCGCTGCTCCGCTGATCCCGGTGTTGGGAGGCATATTACCCTTTTACTTTATAGGATAGAGGCCTGGTGCATGGGTGGGGGCCGGCTGGTTGACTCTGAAGGGTGTCCTGGATCAGAGTGGGGGGTCCCACTTGGGTGCCTGGCCAGCCTGGATGAGGGAATGATGGCTGTTTGCAGCTGGTCACACCCCCTTCAGGGTGGGGGTCCCCACTGTTTTCAGGCTGGCAGGTGACTGAAGCTCCCAACCTCTCCTTTTTTTCTTTTTTCTTTTTTTTCATTCTGGGATTTATTTACCTTCTATGCCTGTCACTGGAACTGAGAGCTGGCTTTAGCTCTGAGGCTTGGCTCCAGCTCTGAGACCTCAGCTGCTGAAAGCAGGTATCTGGTTTGTTTGGCTTCTATAATTGAAACACTGTTGCAACTCCAGCTCAGCTGGCTGGCTGAAATCATGGGGATTGTTTAGCTTCTATAATTGCAACATAGTTGCTTAGAGTGCAAGCTCAGAGCCCAGCAGTGGCAGGCAGGGAACCTTGGCTTCCTCCTTCACTGGTGCAAGCAAGCCTCCTGTTTGCTTCAGCTGTCTGGCTGCCGGCCGCCATCTTGGTTGGCAGGTAATTTGCATATTGCCCTGATTAGCCAATGGGAGGCGTGTTGGAGGTACGGTTAATTACCATGTTTGTCTATTATTAGATAGGATATATATATTTTAAAGAGCCTTGTATATCTTTGTATTTATTTTTTTAAAGGGGAGAATGATGATTTTTGTCTTTTATTTTTTTATTTTAATTTTTAAAAAATATATTTTATTGATTTTTTAAAGAGAGGAAGGGAGAGGGATAGAGAGTTAGAAACATCGATGAGAGAGAAACATTGATCAGTTGCCTCCTGCACACTCCCTACTGGGGATGTGCCCACAACCAAGGTACATGCCCTTGACCGGAATCGAACCTGGGACCCTTGAGTCCGCGGGCTGACGCTCTATCCACTGAGCCAAACCGGTTAGGGCTATCTTTGTATTTAAAAGAAAACAAAATATTAAATACTTATTAGTCCTTACATAATCTATAGAGATTGGGAAGGAAAGATACATTTCTCCCCATAAAGTCTATAAGGGTCCTTCACTCTAGTATTTAAGTGACAAAATAGAGAAAATGTCATGGATGGGAATAATATAAAAATGTGAATAAACTATTTTCTCTTTTACTTCTTTACACAATTTATTTTTTGGATGATAAATCATCTTGGGGAACTAAGAAATGTCTACACCAAATCAGTAGCTTCTCTTGCTGAGATTTTATTCTCTTTTTGAAGAGCAAGTCGAAGAGGAAATTTTTGGCATCGTGTGTAGTAATAATTCGCATGGCAAGCTTTTCAAATATCTCTACTGTATGTGATCTCATTTGAATCCCAGGACCACTTGTGATATAAATATTATTATTTTCCCAATTTTGCAGATGAGAAAACTTAAGTTTATCAAAGTTAAATAACACATCTAAATTCAAGCTAGTAATAGAGGAAATCAAGGAATTGGATTTGAAATCTCATGGATTTCAAAAACTGTGGGTTTTTTTGTACACTAGAGTTGGGTTGTGTCTGTACCAACTTGCTGACATACCTTAGGAACCTCTTTTCCTATGTACTATGAAGTGAATTTATTGACTTGCTATTTTCACCCATTAACAGCGAGGTGCAGAATGTTTTATTGCCTCGCTCTTGTCCAAGGATTCCCCGTGGATAGAAAATCTAATAAGCCAGCAGGGAC